ATAACAAGGAAATAAGCAGTACCAATACGAAGGCTAGAAGATGACAAGAGGATCTATAACTTAAGAATAAAGAAGGTGAATGAAGAAGCAGGGGTACAAACAAAGGAACTGCAAAGGCTATTCACAGAAATAATGAGGGAAAACTTCCCAAACATAGGAAAAGGGAAAGATGCTCAAATGTATGAGGCATACAGAACTCCAGCCACCTACAATCCAAACAGACCTACACCCAGGCATATAATAATCAAGATTCCAGAAATCCAATATAAGAACAGAATATTAAAAGCTATCAGAGACAAGAAACAGATCGCTTATAAGGGAACACCCATCAGAATTACAGCAGACTTCTTGGCACAAACCATCAAATCTTGAAGAGCATGGGTGGAAAAAAATCCAAGTCTTGAAAGACAATAACCTCCAGCCAAGACTGATATATCCTGCACAACTGTCCCTAGAAATTAATGGAGAAAAAAAAGTGCTTCCACGATAAAGAGGAACTGGGGGAATGTGCAATCACCAATCCAACTCTACAAAGAATACTGCAGGACATTCTAAAGAGAGAGAAAAGTACCAGGATACCAGAAACAATGGCAGAGAGGCCACAATGAATGGAGAAGAAAATGAAATGAAGAAGACAGACAACTAATGACAGAAAAAGAGCACAATAGAAATGAGGCAAAAAAGGTTCGATATAATTTCTAGTATAGATGGCATAGGTACACTAACTTAAGGGAAAAAAGGACCACAGGAAGAGTGGATCAGGACCCTATTGGTCCAATGAGAGACTCTTCATAGGAAATATAATTACCCTGAAGAAGGTTATATAGACCAAAATCAAACATGAGAAAATGGAACTCGATGTGATAGGGAACTATAGAGTAATAGGGATAACTGGACCAGTATTTATGGATAGGTTGAACAGACAGGCTTTAAGAAATGAAGAAACATAACTAGAAATCCAGCCCAGGAGTGAGAAAGTTTGGAAACACTTAGGTAAATAGCAGGTTTGCCCCCCCAATATAAAACTCTGAGTGATGGGGAGACCCCAAAATACCCAATTCATTCTGGGGGAGTAAAAGGGGAGGAATAGTCTTTTTAAAAAACAGCAGAAGATATAGCTAACAGTGTATCAGGAATTAAAACCCTTATTACTCGCATCACTCTGCTTGGTTGGAACTTGTTCCATCCTAGTTTGTGTATAAGCACTTGATCTGAGGGCACAGACAGCTGTCCTGAAGATATCAGGACAGTGCACAGTGGTCATCTTGAATTTCCTGTTAACTCAATCAGGATCCCTGTATGACTTACACTGTTGTATCATGACAGACCTTAGTTAAATGTGACTTCTTTGAATACTGTTTATTACTGTTAGGTTGCTGGTATCAAGTTGAGGAGTACAGACGACTATACTGAAAATGACAGTGATTCACTATGATATCCATTCTGATTTGATTACTACCTGTTTTCGCAGCTCTACACTATGTACAAAGTTGTATTCTGCTATGTGCTGATATATTCAATTATACTTTACCTGATGATATAGCAATTCTGTTGATAACAAGAGACAGCACAGTGACCATGGTAGAACTCCTTATATAGCAGTTTTATACGGCTTTTTAGTTTTATGTGTCTATAGGAATATGTTTAGTTCTGTCTTGCTTTGTTCTGTTTCCCCCTCCAATATAGAAAGGATAGAAATACATGTTAAGACTCATGCTTGTGTAAAACCTATGAACAGTTTATGAGAACTGATCTGATGACACATGATGAAATGAACAAATACTTTGAAAGAAAGAAAGTGGCACTGCAGGACCCAATCCTGATTCTGGAGTGTTATGATGTGAAATCCAGCAATATTATTAATCTTTGTTCAGAAGGATTTTAATCTAATATGCTCTGATAGGTCTCAACATAAATGAAAATATGGATAAATGTGTACAGGTCTAAGTGTATAGGATTGATAGCCATAATGCTTAGTTTTTGTTGGATAGTTGAACAGAACTGTTTTCAGTCTCCCTGGTTGAAATCCCATTTATATGTTTCACTTGTGTACCTTGAACAACTATTTATAGGGGGACAATATGAATACATTAGCTAGTGATTTATTAGTGTTTATTTCTTGTCTTTGAAAGTACGTACTATTTCTGCCTGTTTTATCTTTCTTTAAATAAAAAATAAATAAATAAAGTCATTCTGGCAGCACCACGCTCTGCAGGAGTCCATCCTCATTCCCCTGGGAAAAGGCAGGAGAATACACTGGCTGCCAGGAGCCAAATGGCATGAGGGGGCTTCCTGTATGGATCATGGTGGGGTCTCATGCACCCACACATATGCTCACACCACAAGGCCAACTTGCAGGACCACACAGGCGTGCATTTCTGTCAATAGTGTTGCTCCAGAGCTGCTTTCTGAGGATAACATGACACCATCTTGCAAGACTGGACCACTGAGGGGAGGTGGACAGAAATTGGGACTCTCACTGGCAATTTTTGTGAGCCTAATGTGATTCTAGAAGAGGAGGCTTCTATCTGGGTGTGGTGGCCCAACCCTAGTCCCTGCTACTTGGTAGGCTGAGGCAGGATGATCAAGGCCATAGAGTGGAACAGCACAAGGTTACATAAAGAAATGAAGTGCTGATACAGGAGACTATAAGGGTGAACCATACAAATAATATGGGCTGAGAGCGTGACATCAGACAGGCCACGCTCCTTTCCATGCGCCTGTGGACAAGGCAAACACATAGAGACAAGAGGCAGATGAGTGGCTGCTCAGGGCTTGGGAGGCAGGCTCAGGGAGAGTCTGCTAACGGGAATAAGTTTCTTCGGGAAGTGATAACCTGTTCTAAAAAATCGATGGTGGTGATACTGCACAACTCTGAGACTATATTAAAAACTACTGAATCATACACTTCAAATGGGCTAATTACCTTATCTGTGAGTTTGCATTTCAATAAAGTCACTATGACAACAATAGAGTCTGGTGCAAAATGCTCTGAATTCATGCAACCACAGGGTTTGGTCTTTGAGAATCCCATTCTGTATCACACACATGGAAGCTGAATGTGCAAGTTCTTCCTTGCTGATGTCCTAGCCAGAGACTGGTTATTTCCTCAGAGGCCCTGGGGGCAGACTGGGAGCTGCACGTTACCTATTGCTAAGGTTGGATGCCATCAAATTTTAGTGTTCAAAGTGTGGATGCACTGAAGATGCATGGAAATGCACACCATCACAAAGTCAAAAATCCATGAAACTGATCCATCATTAACTAAACCAGAGACTGTCTGTCTCAGGATTCTGTTGTGACTTGTTATTCTTCCTTCACTTTTGGGAGCTGTAAGAATCACCTCTGATGCTCTTTTGAACTACATGCTGCCCCTCAATATTGAGAGGCAGTGTCCCCCAAGTGTGTCCAGCTAGACAAAGGTGCTAAGAGCCTGCAGATCAAAGTCCCCTTTGGAATGAGGTAGGCAGGGTCAAATGCAAGGTCCTGGTGCTTCCTTTCATTCTTTTTCCTACGTTACTGTCTCCTTTCCACTGGGCTGCTGCTTTACCTATATTCCCTTAAAACACTGCTTCTCTGTGCCTGGCTCATGTCTGCTCAGGAAGTCCCTGGTGGGATTTGCCTCTATAGGGGCATTAAAATCCTGCCCAGCCTGCCAAGAGCTGCCTCCCTACACAGCTCCACCTCTGCAATGGAGCCTGCACCAGAATCCCCACACATTCTGGAGGCGTCCATTTCCACCACACCCTGCAGTGGACTCACTTCTGCACACCTCAGGAGTGCTCTCACACAAGTACATGGGTGAATCCCACTCACCCCACTGCATACCCACAGCAGTATACTCCCAATGGGAGCAAGTAATGGGCACCCCAGCTGTAGGTGCACTGGATCCTGTGAGCTGTATAGAGTGTGCCTCATGACAGCCAAAGCCCACTTCCAAAGGCCCATGCTCTTCAGCTGTCTACTCCAGTGACAAACTGCACAGAGCACAGTCTGCAGGGAGATACTTGCCCCAGTCCCTCTCTATAGCCTCACTGACCCCTAGGACAGGCCCAATGACAGGTTGGCTGGCAAGCAGGCTGGTATGCATTGCCACACCATTGTCATTCCACAACACACTCCTTGAGGAGCACAAGAGACAAGACTGAAAAGGCCGAATAGGACTTACCTTTCTTTTCTAGAAACTAGAAGCCAGACAAGGATCTCAAAAGCATATAGAAGGAAAAACAAATCACAAACTGTGCTACTCAAAACAGAACAAATTCTAATAATTCTAATAATTACCTCCATTCTTATCTAAAATTCATGTATGACCAATTTTATGAGACAAATAAGAACTGTAACCTTAACACTAGCATAGCCATAAACCAGTAATATAAACAGTCCAGCATCAAAACTTGAACATAGCCCTAACTGTAGAACTGAATCTAGCCATAAACTTAACCTAACCATACACTTAAACATGACTCTAGCTCTAGCCCTAACCTTAACCCTAGCATACCTCTTCCCCTAACCATAGCATTGGTCCTATTCCAAAATTCAAACCTAGCTCTAACTCTAGGTTTAACCCTGGCCATAACCCTAAGTCTAACCATAACCTTAACATGATCTCTTACCCTATCCTAGCTCTAGCCCTAACTTTAACCCTAATTCTAGTCTTAACCCTACTCCTAGCCCTAACCCTAATCCTGCCCCTACTCCTACCCCTAGCCCTAACCCTAAGGCCCTCGGTGGTATCTGCAGCCCACAGATATCACACAGAGAGTGGGCTGAGAACTGCCAACAAAGGTTCAGAAACCATTCTTAGGTTTCTGAGGTTTTGGGATTTGTTTAGAGGAAGCAGACAGACACTCACTATTCCATATCTTGGGAGATCATGTTTCTAGATCATAAAATCAATGCATCAATCATTTCTTAGGCACAGGAAAAAAATGCAGCAGGGAACAGGCTCTTTCTACTTCACTCTGAAAGGAAGAGATGAGCTTGGCAAGGGTACTTACTCAGAAACAGGTGTCAGCAAATCTCTCCTTTGGCCCGCACTTTCTCTCTAGGCCCCTCGTCTATCTCCTGCTACCTGGAAAGGAATAACAGGAGAGTGAGGCAGGACCATCAGCAAGCACAGATCCCATGTGCCCTGCCCTGCTGCAGCCAGGTGGGCGTATGCCTTAAGGAGTGTGGTCACCCACTGAATAACGCCGCCTCGGTTCACTGTGGGCCAGATGCAAGGCAGTGTTGCCATCAGATGCAAGCAACTGGCAGTGTTGTGGCCACCCTCTTTTGTACATGTTCATTTTATTATGCCCACCCAGGCACAGAATCAAAAGATAGATGCTCAGAACAAGGCCCTGCGAGGTGATGTACCTCAAAGCTCATCAATACCCCTATGGGGAGGTAGACAACCATCCTGGGGGGCCCAAGACTTGCGCTGGGTCCCCTGCTCCAGCGACACTCCTCCAGTCCCTGCTCAAGAGGCAGCACTGCCTTGGCTGTTGCAGCCACCATCATCTGGGCCATGCTAAAGCAGGTAGAGCGGAGATGTGAGCATTTCTAGAAGGCAGGGCAACTCAGCAAAATCTCACAGCTGCCAAGGCTGCCCAGAGACCTGGGGAAGGACTTGCTGGGGGGAGGAAAGGATGACAAACTAATAACCAGATGTGCAAGATCATTCAAAAGCAGTGGACTGGGAGCTGGCTTTCCACTGGGGCTCTCTGAGTGGAGCTCCTGAGAATCACCACAAACCAGAGCCAATGCACAGCTCATGCTGCCAGCCTTCTACCACAGGCCACTTGCACATCATACATCTGAGCAGAAATAAGGAGCCAGGAACTGTGATATGCACCTGCATTCCCAGCTGAGAGGCTGAGGCAAGAGGATCTCAAGTGTGAAGCTGACACTGGCAGCTTACTAAAGCCTGTCCCAAATACAGTGGTTCACCAGCTTTTACAGTCAGGAGTTGTGAGGAGAACAACTACAATCAGAACACAGAATTTATATTATTTTATGATGGTCACCCAGAGTTAAACACAAAAAGAAAAGTGCAGGAAATCTGTCAAAAACACTAAAGACCCAGAATATTCAGCCAAGGGCCACATCAATGTCCTGCACAAGTCCCAATGAAGACTAGAGCCTATGACAATGCATTCCAACTGGAGGTCTAGAGCCTATGACAAAGACTCATGGCAGTCTCTTTTATGGATCTATGCTGGGAAGGCTCCAAGATCAGCAGTGGAAGATAGAAAGTCTATGCCAGCAGAATAAGGAGCTGTGCTGTTAGTTTGAGGGTTCTACACTGAAGCCAAGAAGTCACATTCAAAACAAGGACCAAGGCTGTCCTGAAAAGTACCACAGCCATCCTCAGCGACACAGAGGTCCTGAGCTCCTCCTGAACACTCAAGTAAGTGCCAGGAAGCCAGTGTAAGTAGCTTCTCTTACGAGATTAAACAGCACACATCTTCCCCTCTGGAGCCAGGAAGCCATGCTTGATATAAGGACCAGAGCTCCCCCAAAGTGAATCATAGCCACCCTCACCAAGGTCCCAAGCTCCTCTGATGATAATGGTCAACTCTCACCGGGGAACACTGACGAGCTCCTTCAGGAGAACCAATGGCTCAAACAGCAGCACTTAGCCCAGCTATTCTTCTCCATGTTTCTATTTATGCTGGCAACTTTCCTCAGGTGGGGAAACCATCTACACTCAGCACCATGCTGATTTAATTCAGCTGGCATTAAGCTGACCATCAGTTTTTGATCTGTAACACCAGCTTAATTCTTTCCATGATTCTGTTTGCAAACCAAATTCAATAGTCACGTGCAAAGGTTAAGTTTAATGTTGACCTGACGGAGGAATTTGATTCAGTTCTGGTTTGAGACTAGAATTGTGGAAAAAAATTAAACTTGTGAGCTACAGTTAACGCTGTGCAAAAGCAAAGGGTTGGGAATGTAGCTCAGTGGTAGAGCACTTGCTCAGCACCAACAGAGCACTGGTTTTTGTCTCCAAGAGTAAGGGAGAAAGGCTGGGAAAGAGAGAAGAATAAACAAAGAATACATCTGCAGCAGACCCCTTTATTTCCAATAAATGTTAACAAGTCAACTCTGGTTAAGTTTCCTCAGTTGCAAAATAAGGGCGTTAAATTATTTCCAAGGCTTCCTCCACATTAAAGAGATATGAGGGGCCATTTTTCGGTCAACTTCCCTTGTAAGTTTTTTTTTTTTGTCTCTTTGAGACAGGGTTTCACTATGCAGTTCAGGCTGGCCTCAAACTCACAGTGATCCTCTTCTCTCCATCTCCAAAGTGCTGGGAATACAGGTGTGAGCCACCAGGCCTGGCATCCTTTGAAAAATTAGGGAAAAATACTTGCCTAGGACTTACCTAAGAACTTGTGAAAGAAAGAAAGCAAAACAGAAAAGGGAAAAAAGAAAGTTGTCCAGGGGGCAGGAAGGTGAGTCTGTTTCACAGCTGACAGCTGGAGTTACCCAAAGGGTGCCTAGGTGTCTACATTCACCACAGTGATTATTAACACTGCAACTCCAGAGAAATCCAAATTGGGAAAACAATGTGAAAAATCTCAGCTATGTTTTCAGAAGCATGACAGGAGAACGGGAGCTCCCTCCAGATTCCTCAGTTTACTTTAGCAGACTGTGATGGAACCTGAGCTGACAGGCAGGAGCCTGTGGTGCCCAGCCAGGGTGTTCTCAATAGCAGTTTGAGTCTGAAACTGTGTTTCCAGAATAAAACGGTACAATCATTTCTGTACTGACATGACACATGTGGCAATAGACTGCTAAGTCCTCTAAATCACCGGTTCCCAAGTAGTGGTGACTCTGCTCCCCAGGGAACCATGGCAAGGTCTAGAAACATGGTGTTATGGTTGATACCCTGTGTCAACTTGAGCATTTTAGAAGTTTAACTAAGAGGCTCAGCAGGGAGCCAGGGTTCTTAACTTTGTAAATATCATCATCTTTAAGGAGGTTTTGTGAATTCTGCACTGGCCCTTGATGGCGTGGCCTGTGTACAATATTAGCCAGAAGAGGTTTGGTTTGTTATCTACCTTTATGCTCTGGCTGCTGCCTTAAAATGTTGCCCCTGTGCCATGCCACCCTGCCTTGGAGCCAGCTGATTGTGGAGTGAAATGTCCACAGACAGTAAGTTAAATAAACCTTTCCTTCCTTCATTTGGGGTGCTTGGTATTTTGTCTCAGCAACGAGAGAAAAGTAACCAAGACATGTGGTTTAACTGCCAGAGCTGGGGAGGAATCCACCAGCATGTAATGGGCAGAGGCCAGTATGCTGGCTAGTGGGTACCTGGGAAGACCCAGCACAGCCCCTTAGCAAATACACTGTTTGACGCCAACACCAATATTGCTCTGAAGAGGAGCCCTCCTGTCAAAGCACATCAACGGATGTTCCTATCATTTTACAGTGGGCATCCAATCTCATTTTTATTCTTTTCAAAGTAATACATGAGGGCAGATTTTTAAAATTATTATACAGGTGAGTCTAAAGCCTCTATTTTAAAAATTACGAGCATCTGAGTTCCTCAACCCTCTCCCCAATTCTACTTCCTAAAGCAACCGCTTCCAAATCTCAGAACTGCTTTTGCTAATGTCACTGTTTCTTGGTCCTAACCTCTAAGTTTCTGAATAACTTGCTTGCAATGCTAAAAATAATTTGTGGAGATTCATTCTGCAAAACCAGTTTCCAATGTGTCTTACTGATCTTCTCACCTAGAGAAGATTTTAATTTTTTTAAAATTTTATTTAAGGAGAAAAAGAAAAAAAAAAAAACAGAAAAGGGTACAAGTTATGCAGAATTTCAGAAAGAATAAACAGTAGGGAATCATTAGTTAATAGATTACATACTGTTATCTTAGAAATAGTTGTTCAAGTTGCAAAATTAAAGCATATAAAGTGGACTTTCAAACAGTGAGACTGCAAAGTTTTGTTCAATGATCCAACAAAACTCAGTAGTATGGTTATCTATCTTATACACTTAAATATATATGCAGTTATATCCTTTAGAGCACTTTCTTTTCCTCTCTTTTGTACAATGACAATTACACATTTTGAGTTTTATTACTCCCATAGTTCTTATTACTTTTTTTTGAAGAGAGTAAAACCAAATGTGACATAATAGAACAGAGTCAGTCAAATCAAAAGGATGGTAGATAACGTAAAAACAAAATACCAGGTGATCAACAATGGTTATCATACTGCCTCTTGCTATCTTAAAAAGCATTGTCTATATTATCAGTTATAATAGAATTGAACAAAACATAGAGAATAAAACCAAAACATTGGAGACATTACAGGACTTTAAAAGAAGATAGAGTCAACCAGAATGGGCATCATAATGAATCCTACTGTCTTCACAGATGTTGCCTATACTTTCGAACTTGGTACTGTCAAGCAAAGCAGAATAGGGGAAAATTAGTCAAAACAAGATGGTGAGGGCAATACAGGGTTTCAAATCAAGTTAATAGGAAATCAAAGTGGGTTACTATAATGTATCCTGCTATTTTTTATTTTCCTCTTAATTAAAAAGATAAAACTAAAAAAGTAAATAATTAAAAAAGATTGAGATAAAAGAGGGCATAACAACAAAACAGCGCAGATCGAAGCATAATCATTTAAGCAAAATAGTGTTTCACCACAAGATATCCTGACATAAACGTAGTTACCATAGTGTCTCTTTCCTTGAAATCTTTGAGTATAACTTTGTATAGTGTAGCACCAAACATATCAAGACAATGTAAAACCATTCAAGAGAATGACAGTATTACAGGGTATTTAGAACCAACTATCAGAAAGTGAACAATGGTTTTTGTATAATCTCCTTGTCTATAAAATTTTTGCTTATATTATCACATATAATAAAATCCAATAAGATACATCTGTTAAGACCAATGGAGACAGAAGAATAAAAGCTTGATGGGACTTCAAAACAAGATATTAAATTAGCACTAGCTATTATGATGTCTTGTTTTCTCCAAAATAGCTGTTCCTACCATCCAATCTTCTCTGCCTCATTTCTGTTGAGATCTTTTTCTGTCATTTGTTATCAGTTTGTCTTCATTTC